GGGGGGTCGGAGGTAAAGGACAACAAAACTGAACATCCACCGCGTGAGAGACAACATCAGAGGCGCCCTGACGCGCCTGCGACGAACGTCCCCTGAACGTCCCCCCAACGTACCCGTGTGCACGCAACACACGGGTGTCATTTCTTGGTGCGGTGGGAAGCCGGCATTGTCTCACCCCCCCCCCCATCCCCCGCCCCCCCGGACTTTCATCTCGATCACAAGAAGTCGCGTGTGAGGTTTCACGCCAAGGGCTGGCCGTGAGCGCTCGGGGTGGTGGGGGTGGTGAACACAAGAAATGATCTAAGAGGAGGCGGCAATCAACGGCGTTATCTGGATCATCGACGCTCGCCCCTTTTGATGATCTCTTTCTCGCCTTGCGTTCGTTTCATTTGCACGCGAAAGAATGCGGTCCCTTCGCGAACCCGGTCCCCGAGATGTTGTCGATGCGATAGGTGAGGGGGGTTTTGTTTGTGTGTGTGTCTGTGTATGGTATAGCTCATTTAAATTATCCGAGCTCGTTCTCCAAAAATAAAACTATTTAATGGCCGTCGCAGACACAAGCTGACAAATAATCGACTTGTCGACGTTTAGTTTTTTTTTATCATAATCGACATTTCTTGACGATGTAAAAGTCACGATATACATGATTATTATTATTTCAAAAAATAATCTGCAGCCGTAGACGCACAGTCGTGTTGCACAGCACGACGCGCCGCGAACTTGTACCGGCACCACGTGCACACGCACAAGCGCGTGCACGCGCGCACTCACAGCCACGCACGCGCACACAGCCACGCACGCACAGCCACGCATCACTCACGCGCGCACACGGAACGACGGTGCGCACCCGGGTGTCACGGAGACACAGAAGGGCCGCGCGCTGTTTCGTGTACACAGAAGTCGAGAACGTCGTGTGCACAGACACACGGAGAGAGGAGAGAGCGAGCACAGAGTCGCCTCGACTCTGCTGCGCCGCTGCTACTGCCGATGTTGCTCACGCTGCAACCAAGTCCGTGCATCTTCGTGCGAGCGAGAAGGGCGCTTTTCGCCGCCCAAGATATCCGTCACGCGCTCTCGCGCCGTCTCTCCGAGTCGCGCCGCTACAACCGCAACCCCACGGGGGGTTTTACTCAAAAAAAAAAAAAACACTTCTCGGACGCTTTGAAATAGTCGCGCTCGGGACCGCATCCGCCTCTCGCCCCGCCACTACTTCATCCCCCTCCACGACTCCCGCCCCTGCCCCCCCCCTCCTGGCCACGGACCGCGCGCGGATCCCCTCTTGAAGTGGAAAATCCACTCGCGCCGCGCACACCTTGTGGCAGGCGGGCAGGCAGGCCGGGCAGTCTGTCTTCACTTGCAGTGTGCAGGACAGCTGCATAGACACCGCCTTGCTCTGCTGTGTAGATGCCTACCGTCTACAGCAGGCAAAGAACAGCTTCCTAACACTTTGTGTGTTTAGTTTGTTGTCGCCCCCCCACTCTCCCTCCGCACGTGCCTTCCCATGAGCACGCTTGGCTTCGTACGGTGCGAAAGAAGTTCAAAGTACGTACGTACTTTACATCAGACGTGAACGCTTCTCAAAGCTCCTACAATCGCCCGGACAGATGTCCATTGCCTAAAGCAAGCAGGGATAGCTTCCAAACGCCTACGACAGGGCAGGGCAGCTTCTTAAGACGTATAGCAGAAAGATAGCTGTGTACACACATATAGCCGCCGGCAGGTCAGCTGTGCAAACATCTACAGCAGCCAGGACAATACCCGCAATTAAACGAAACGAGCTATGTAGTAGACACCTATAGAACAGACAAGACAGCATCTACAACAGGCTAAGAACAGCCTCCAAACACGTACACAAAGTCAGGACGTATGTGTTACACATCTGCAACGGGACATAAAGCGTTCTATCCGTACCTAAAGTAGTTGGTACAGGCTGCCCGCACCTACAGCAAGGCAGGACAGTCTCTCCACACCTACAGCCTCGCTCGAGAGCGCGGGCTGTCTCTACGGGTCGCTCCGGTACCCTCCGGGGAACCGACTTTGTCGGGGACGGGCAGAGCGAGGGAGTGGTGCCGGTAAGAGGGACTCCCCCTACCCCACTTGTATATCAAAGAGGGGGGGGAGCGAAGGGGGGGGGGTATGTGGCCGCAACAGCTGGTTTATATGTAGGCCACAGCCCTGTCAGGAAGGTGGAGGTTTGAGGACGGCAGAGAGAACGGGAGGAGGAGGAGGAGAGAGAAAGAAACTTCAGGGGAGGATGCGTCATCAAGGGTGGGTGCGGGGCTGTGTGGCGGGCGCTTTGCCGGGGGGGGGGGGCGGCGGAGAGGGGGGGGGGGGCTTAGCCGGCAGATTTTAATGCAAATGTTATTGTATCAAAACTTGCCAAGTAATGGGAATCCTTTTTTTCTGTGTGCGCGTGTTGCTTCTTCTGGCCCAGTCGCCCTCCTACACAGAACGCGCTCTCTCTCCCCCTCCCTTTTAAGCCGTTACAGATCTGACTGCGCAAAGCTCCTAATGGGTAACTTCCCCCCATTCTGCTGAACGCCTTCTAATTTACCAACAGCCACGGAGTAATAAATCTTAGGCGGCCCCTCTCGCGACAGGCCTGGTGGTTGGTGGTGGTATGCGAGCTCCGAGCCATCCCGTGGCCGCTGAGTAACAAAGCGTCGGCACCCCCCCCCCTCCTCCTCCTCCTCCCCACTATCCCCCCCCCTCCCACCTCTCCCCCCCCCCCTTCCCTCCCAGTTCCTCCCTCGCCTTGAACGAAACATTTTTGACACATTAGAATTAGGCGATAAGTAATTGGCAAAGATAGAAAGGCAGTAAGTGCCGCATTAAACTGCGATATTAGCAGCGGCGCGTGAGATGACCGCCACCTGAAGGCCCTCATGTTGACAAATGTTCGTGGCACGCGCAGAAGTTTTTGAATGTCGGAACGGTCGTGAAGAAAAATGAAAAATGCTATAAAAAAATCACCGTGTTATTCACGATGGTAAATACGTCACTATTAATATAAAAAACAAAATGTTGTTGGTTTTGTTCTGTAACTTGATAAAAAAAATAGTGGTCACAATCATGGACAGCGCGTCTGCACTGGTACTGCGAGGTGAGTACACAGGGGGGGGGGGGGGTAGGCATTTCTTTATAACTGCTTTTTTAATATAACCACGTGTGCGTTTAGTTTGTTGTCCCCCCCCCGCACCTCCGATTAGCTAGGTTGGCTACGTACGGCGCGAAAAAAAGTTCAACACACAGTACGTACAGACTCCAAAACGCGCTGCGGGTCTGCGCGTAAATCACGGCTCTCGTGCCGCATTGACACGGGGGCGAGGGGGGCGAGGGGGCGAGGGGGCGAGGGGGCGAGGGGGGCGAGGGGGCTTTGAGGGTTGCAGTTCGCGGCTTGGGGTTTTGAAGAGCGGCCAAAAAAGAGAGAGATATATAAATAAACTACTTTTTGAAAATCTATATATATAATGGTTAGATCGCTACATTGTAGCACGCTGATAAATCATGTGGGTAATGTGGTCATTAAAACTGTAGCTTCACGGTGGTGAGTGAGTGAGTGAGTGTGTGCGGGTCTTACAGCCGGCTATACGCCGAAATAAAAACGTGTTTGTTCGTTTTTAGTTTTGCTTCCGCGGTGTACTAATGAGTAAATTCAGATGTGAAGAACAGCAACAACAAAAACTTAAGTAACAAAGGTGAATCGTAACGGGGGTGTGTGCAACCGCACATATGGGTGCGGGGTGGTTAAAAACGGCGTGAAGGGAAGGAATTTAATAATTCATCGATGAAAGCCCACCGCGTAAAACCGTAACAGTCCAGGAGCTCCACCCCATCAAACTTAATAACGGCCCCGCATCATTATCACGGTCATAGCGTTCGTCACCATCATCTCGGCGGAATGAGAGGCCGAGCAGGAATCGCTGGAGAGTGATTGTGGCGGCAGCCTTCTGATTAGCAGGCACGGCTTCGGCGCTAACTTACAATTCCATCCCGTGCGCATCAACAACATCATCATAGCGTCCCCCCGTTTATCGGGAGAGGGGCAAGGAATGTGGTTTATTGAATCGTAAGACAGTCGATATATTTATTGAAGTCACCTTCTTGCCCGCACCACGAGCCCCTTGCTTGAAAGTTCGAAGCATCACCAGTGGGGTTCGGGTGGTGAGATGTTTTAGGGCTTTGCGATAGCCACACCGCTGCTATCACTGGTTGTTTTTCGTCTTTGAATTTTCGTCGTCGCCCGATTAGAGACACGGCTCTGAACGGAAGCGTTTCAATGCTGGCGTATGAGTGCCGGGCATCTGTTTATAATAAGGAGCGTTGTTATTTTTGGCAAGAAAATCGTACGGATCAGTTTTGACTTCTCTCTCTCTCTCTCCGGGCGAGCGAGTGAGCGAGTCAGTGAGCCAGCCACCTCCTCCTCCTCTCAGCGTCGTTTCAGGCGCCACATTGTAAACTGCCTTCTCCAGCTACAAGTCATAGTGCCCTGCCTGCCCTTTGTCTCTACCGCTGAATAAGTCATCGCCTTAAACATCGGCCACTAAATATAATCGACATTTTTGTTTCTGCTCGGAAGCGGTGTCGATGACAGCGGTGGTGAGATTTTTTTTTCGCGCGTGTGTGCGCGCGCGCGCGTGTCTGCCAGTTCTTCTCTATGGGAGCTGTTTATCCAGAGACCCGATCTGGGTGCGATATAGTCACAGAGGGCAGAGGCAGCCGTGAGGAATTCCTGTGCCCTCTCCGCCTCTCCGCACGCACGCAGTCGAACACGGCTGCGCTCTCCGCCCAGACGCGCGCAGCCTTTGCGCAGAGGCTGCGAGCGGGCCGCATTCACGAACGCATCCCGCCAGGCCCGGCCCGCTTCTTCTCTCTCCGTGCGCCAGGGCGAGAGGGCGGGTGGCGTTACCCTGACACTCGCTTGAAGCAGCGGGCGCGCGGGAGGGGGGGGGCAGTCAGACAGGCCCCCGACCCGTGTCTGGTGGCGGGGGGGGGGGGGCGGAAGAAGCGGGGGGGAGGACAGGGCCCTGCCCACCCGTAGGGCCACGGGGCCCCTCCTAGGGCCTCCAGAGCGCCATGGCGAGGTCGGCACGGATCGGATTGGATCGACTGTAAGCGGCTCGGCTCGGCTCAGGTTGCGCGGCACCGGACCAAGTGGCGGCTGTGTGCTGGGCTCGGTGTGTGTGCGTTGCGTGTGCGTGTGCGCGTGTCTGCGTGCGTGTGTGTGCGTGCGCGCGCGCGCCTCTCTGTGTGTGTGTGTGTGTGCGAGCGGCTTAACGCGCGCTCGGGCTGCGTCTCTGCATGTCTCCGCCATCGAAGCCGGCCCGGCAGCGCGGAGAAGGCGGACGCGAGAAATATATAAATATAAATGCGATCTGGCGGCAGGGGCTAAGGTAAGGATCGACTCATTTGCCGAGGGCCGAGTTGTTCGCGTCGCGATGATTTATGAGCTCGACTGGAGGCGCGGTTCACAAAGAGTTCAGGGGGAATCGGGCGCGCGGGCGTCCGCGTCCGAGAGCGCGCGCGCCTCCGCCGCCGCCGCCGCGTCCGCCTTTTGTTGTCTCGTCACCAGCGCAGGTGTGGTGGGAGAGCCTTTAGCGGGGCTCGGCCCAAAACATTTAGGGATTCGTTTCCCCGAGTCATCATAAAACGAAAGCGAATCATAAAAAAAAATTAAAGAAATATAACATGGCCGCCGGAACGGAGACGCGGGGGGGGGGGGGGGGTGAGCGCTGCGCCCCCCCCCCCCCCGCCCACGACTGTTGCGCCACGCGACCCTCGGAGCAGATCTATCTCTCGTGGGGGGGTCAAACATTTGTTTTATTTCGGTGACTTTTCTATTTAATATGTGTCAGCTCTGCTCCATTAAAAATATTTTTTTTATCTCGTTGGAGAGGCCGCGGTTGTAATGGAGGAGGTATCGGGGTAGAGACTGGGAGGGGAGAGAGGAGGAGGAGGAGTGGGGGGGGGAGCACCATCGGACTCCATTCATCTTCGCCGACCGCCGCTCTCTGATTCTGCCTCGCACGGGACGCGACGCAGTGGCGGCGGCAGCGACGGCGGCGGGGGGTGCTAAAATTAAACGCGAACGATTCAAAACGCAAATGTTGATTCGCGGGGTCAGAAGAAACAGCGTCAACAAAATGCGTTCGTTTCGTAACGCGCGGCTCCCTGTGTTTTTGTTGCCTCTCGTTGGCTACGTGCGCCGGTGTTTATTTAAATATATATAATGTGTCTGTTTGTCTGTATACAACCGCGGCGGCTGACCGCACACAATAGCCCGAGCTCGCGTGTTTAGGGGGAAGTATGATTTATTCATATCGAGGCAGTTCACAGGGCCGCCGTTCAGACCCCCGCACGGGGTCCCGCATTTGGGGTTCGGGAGTAGCGCGGTGGTGGTGGTGGTGTGCCATGAGTCGCTATCGGGGGTCCCGGGTGCAACGCTGGGGGGGGGGGGGGGGGTGGGACTGCTCCCCGAACCCCCTCGCACCATTCGTAGTTAGTTATTTCGTCTGTCTTTGAAGAGGCAGTGGCGCTTTCAATCATTAATTTCAGTCTTGTGTTATTTAAAGGGACAGCGGCCACCCGGCGTGTTTCGGCAACAACAACAACACTCGTTTATTGTGTGCTGTTGTTTTGTGTGTGAGGCTTTGGTGGAGCTATCTCTCTCTCTCTATGCGCCGTGCTCTCTCTCTCTCGCACACGCGCGCGCAACGCGTCCGACACATTTGTTATAGCCGCCTTTATATAAATACGAAGGCTGTGATGACAAAATGGCCTCAGTGTGTCACATTTGTTTACAGTGGGCGCGCGTGTGTGTAACGCGCGTGTTGTAATAATGCATGAGAGCCTCGCCCCCCCCCCCTCCTCACCCCATCCCCCCCCCGGATCAGGTTTCATAGCCATATGCGCTACTCGTCCAACCATTCTCTCGAAGATGCGTTTGTAGTGATCTTCCGGGCCGGTGGGATCCGGACAGAATCACCGTCTTGCCTGTCGAAGGAACCGGCTTCCCGCCGCTCCGTGGAGTGGTGATATATATATACATACGTGTGTGTGTGTGTATATATATATCGTTTAATATATCGTTTGCGAGCCAAGCAAATATGACGCCGGGGGTTGTGCGTCTCATTATCGCCGATGTGCGCAAACATAGCGAGGAAATGCGCACTGTCTGCAACAACACAAAAGCCGCGAAGTGGAGCGGAGCCGTTTAAAAAAAAAAACTAAAAAAAAAATGCCGTCAGGGGCTCCCCTCCAGGTTGATTGATGATGCACTTGTGGATTTTTCGCAAACAGTTAATTTCGAGAGAGAGAGAGAGAGAAAAAAAAACGCCTTTAATTTATTTTTCGCAACGGGCACAAATGTGTGGCGCAACCATCACATTTAAACCCAACGCGGCACGCAAACGCGACTCGTTCACGCGACTCGCACCACGACCATTGCACGGCGGTCGCGATGTTTGTTATCATTTGGGGGGTGGGGGGGGGGGCTGCAAACAGCAACAGCAGCAACGGCAGCAGCAGCAGCAGTCCCCTTTTAATGGTGCCCTCGCAGCGAAGGCGGTTCACGCCGTGGTCACAATAGGCCGAAGGGACGGGGTTCTGGGTTTGTAAGAGCTCGCCCATCCATCACCCCGCTTAGCAGGTAGAATTCGCCGCGATCGGCGAAAAGGTCGCGGCGGTGGATGGGGGGTTGCGTGAATCGGGGCGGCCTCTCGCCAAGGAAATAAGAAGAGGGCATTTCTGTTGCTGCTCCTGCTGCTGCTGCTGCTGCTGCGTGCTTGCTTGCTTGCTGCTGGGTGCCCCTGTGTTTTTGGGGGACCTCCCGGCACCCACAAAGAGTTAATGTCTCACGTCGGGTGGCAAGCCTCGCGCCTTTGTGTCTGAGCCGAGCCGGTCGCTGGGTCCTCACAGAAACCCACGGGGCCGAGGCTGGCTCGCTCGCTCGCTCTGTGTGTGTGTGTGCACGTGGCCGTTTGCCTGTGTACGTGGCTGTTTGCTGTGTACAGTATGCGTGTGTGTGTGCGCGCGCGTGTGTGTTTATTTGCGGTAGTGTAGCGGTTAGCGTGCTGCGCTACGAACCCCGCGAGCCGAGTTCGATTCCCGATCGTGGCCGACACCAGTGACGATTTATTTCAACCGGTCCTGGGCCTCCCCTAGGTCGACTCAGCCTAAAACGAGTACCTGGTGCGACGTGTAAAAAACATCGCCACTTGGGGAGACAAATGCTGCCGGGCGTAGTGCTGGCCACCCACCCCCTCTCGTGTGCTGTGCCGGCCTTCATTGATGCTCGCTAACAGCACTTGCCCCAACAGTCTGTTAAGACTACACGGGGGATCTTTGCATAGGTCACAGGAAGCGGCCGGGAACGAAATCTTTAGAATTCACACGATTGAACTCGTTACTTATTTATCTGCGTATTTAGTTAATGTACAAACGTTATCCCCAATAAAATATATATTGTCTTTGTATTTTTTTAACGAAGTCGAAGTACGTTGATTTCCATGTTGTCGTTTAGTTTGAAGGCGGTGCGAGTGAATTATTCGTTAACATTCAGGCAGTGAGATAATGTTACCGTCCGCGTTACATTCGTGTACGTTGTGTTTTATATATATATGTTTAATTTCCATTATCTGGAGAAAATGTTCCGGACAGATTACAAACACACGCACAATGTACACTTGGTAAATATTGCCCGAGACGCGAGCCCGCGCGTGTTGTTAGTGCGTGTTCGTGCGCGTTAGTGACAAGGGGTGAGAGCGCCGTGCGTGCTGCCACGTTGGAGACGAACATTGATGACGAGGAAGATTTTATTTGTGGGAATCGTCGATGGGACCACTCCCCGCGGATTATGAACTTCTCACGACCAGACCAGAACTCCCCCCCCCCCCCCATCTTTGCTCTGCTCGCGATCAGCAGCACGCAAGCACATTCGGTTAATGTCACAGACGTTCATGGAAACCCGAATAATAACACAAACATTGCTTGAGCCGCGTGACAAATACAACATTTTCGTTTATTGAAAATTTAATTCACGAGTCAAACGTATTATCATAACAACAATAATAATTTCAACGAACGTTCCTATCGCGCGCAACGATAAGCAGTACGAGCGGAGGCTAAAGATAAGGTCACATTTTATTTTTGTGTCGTGCGAGATTTCGTAAACGTCCGAGTCGCGAACGGTCGGGAAGAGAGGAGAAGAGGCGCCTTCCGAGAATGGCGTCACGAGGTCTTCTTAATAAAAATTCAATACGCGTTACTCAAATAATAACGTCTGCTCCCTTCGATTTGACTCAACGTCTCAGACCCCCCCCCCCCCCACCTCCTTTACCAACCTCGTTTTCGACAGGTTTTTCTTATTGTCGTTTTGTGTTAAAGACTCCTCGGGAAAAAGAAACCACTCTCTCTCACCCCTAACTCGCTACCACCCCCCCACAAATTTTCGCCGCGTTCATCCACGGCCGATCGCTTCCCCGCCCCCCCCCCCCCCCCCAGGCAGCAGCGCTCGGCGCAGCATTCGCGCTCGCTGTACGAGGAGCCGCCCGGGGACGATTCGGCCGGTGTCGCCCTCTCGACCTCACCGCCGCAGCCGCCGGGCTCGGGGCGCTGAGATTCCACACCACCACCACCACCCCACGCCGCCGCCCGCTGCCGCTGCCGCCGTGGTCGTGAGCCGATGCCTCGGCCCGCAGCAGCAGCAGCAGCCGCAGCAGCAGCAGCTCCACTCACTCGCCAACCTTGAAGTGTTTGGGGGGGGGGGGGGGGGCGCCACCGCTCCTGCTGCCCGTCATTGGAGGAGGGCGCGGCACGTGACTGGCGCCGCCAATGTTATTTGATAAGGGTGTCAAGACCTTGTCACGAAAAGAAATAAATTCCCCGCAACACCGAGATGCAAAAAGCGACCTACTACAATAACAATTCCGGTGTGTTCGGCGGGTGCTCCTACCAGGGGGGAGGCACTTTCGCCTTTGGCGCCGCTCAGCAGCAGCAGCAACATCATCAGCAGCAGCAGCAACCCCAGCAGCAGCAACAGCAACATCATCAGCAGCAGCAGCAGCAAGCTGCCTACCCACCACCATCTGTTGAGAATGACTACCACCGCTTTGCGTGCTCGCTGCAGACCCCGGCTAGCGGGGGCTCGGTGCTCAAGCCGGGCGAGCCCAATGGGAGCTGCATGCAGGCCGTGGGCCGCACCTCCGTGCAGCAGGGGCCGGCGCTCGCCGACCCCCGGCAGCAGCAGCAGGCCCCCCAGCAGCCCCCCCAGCCTCGAGCACCGTCCCACACGCCGTCGCTGTCGCCCCCCGCGAGTAGCAGCGGCGGCGGTGGCGGCGGCGGCGCCACGCTGGCCACGTCCGGCTCCGGCAAGGCTCCGGGCGGCTCCCCGCAAGCCTCGAAGGCGGCCTGTGGGCAAGCACATCTTCCCGTGGATGAAGGAGAGCCGCCAGAACTCCAAGCAGAAGGGGGCCGGCGGCGGCGGTGGCGGGGGCGGTGGGGGCAGCGGGGGCAGCGGGGGCGGCGGAGCGAACAGCGCCGGCACCGGAGCCACGAACAACAGCAACAGCTCTCCCGTCACAGGTACCCAGACACGCTCCCGTGATAGGTACCCACACGGCTCTACTGTGACAGATACTCCGAGACGATCCCGTCACAGGTACTTGCAGGGCTCCTGTGACAGGTACCTGCGCGTCAATGACACGTGTCACTGCCTATTGTTGTTATGGTCGCCTAAATCTTCCGTGCACGTATCTCGCCGTTTCGCTCTCTTTCAACTGTTGGGGTTTTTTTAACAAAATCACAGTTCCCATTCGTTCGTAACTTTGGGGGACGAGTTTTTTTTTATCTCTCTCTATCCCCATCTTGTACCGTCGTCGCAAGACGCCCGTGAAATAGAGCCGAACAGCTGATTGGACCCTTCATGCTGAAACGATGACAATTCGTTTACACGACGTGTAGTTTATTAACCAGCAGAGTCACCGAGCAAACGAGTCCGCGGGAGTTGTTTTTCTTTATTGCAGGAAATTAGTCCTGCTGCGACATTGTTTTTTTTATTTGAAGATGTTTGCAGCGAATTAACGATTAAGTGTTTAAACACACATTATGTAATCACTCGTATAAAACTGGGGGGGGGGGGGGTGGAAGCGGGGGGGGGGGTTAGCGAGGGGGGCGGGGGTGGTAATCGTCATCACAATGAACGGGGGGGGGGGAGTAATCGTCGTCACAATGAACGCACGCGTACGGCCGGTGACATCACGTGCTTTGTTCTGTGCCGTGTGTATAGGTGATGAATCGGAGGACAAAAGCCCCTTTGGCCTGTCAGCGTCGAAGCGCGCCCGCACCGCCTACACAAGCGCCCAGCTAGTTGAACTTGAAAAGGAATTCCACTTTAACCGTTACCTCTGCCGCCCTCGACGAGTTGAAATGGCCAACCTACTTAACCTCACCGAGAGGCAGATCAAGATATGGTTTCAAAACAGGCGGATGAAATACAAAAAGGACCACAAGTCAAAAGGCGTCGGCAGCTCTCCCGGGAGCCAGTCGCCCACGGAGAGCCCCCCGTTGCACGTGTCCGGCCTTGGCGGCTTCCCCAACCCCGTGCACGGCATGGGCGTTGGCTCATCGGTCTACGACACGGGTTCCCCGACCTCCTTCCCCGGGCAGCAACAGCAGCAACAACAACAACAGCAGCAGCAGCAGGGTGCCTACAACATCGCCGACCAATACTGCGGGCCCCTGAACAACGGGCCGCCCATGAACACCTTCCAGGGCAACCACAAGCGCTACGCGGGCACACCAATGCCCCACCAGGACTTCCACGACCATTATCAGGGCAACAACGGCAGCTACGGCGACCCGGGCCTGCAGGAGGGCGCAGTGTACGGAGGAGGAGGAGGGGGTGGTGGCGCAGGAGTAGTAGGAGGAGGATACGTGGATAGCATGGGGGGCCCCGTGTTCAATGTGCCCCACCTCCCGCATCCATCATCCGCCAGCATGGGCCTCGCCAGCCCGTCCCAGATGGCCGGCGGCCATCTTGTAAGACCATGTGATTCCCACAGCACGTACACGGACCTGTCGTCTCATCACCACCCGACTCAGGAAGTCCCCAGACTCACTCATCTGTAGCGAACAGAGAGCGAGCGAGAGGAGAGGGAGGAGGAGAGAGCAGGACCGCCCGCCCGGCCGCCCGTCCGTCTGTCCGTCTGTTTTGAGAGCTGCTTTACCTCGGGTTGCCCCCCCCCCCCCCGTGACTTGTGTTGTCACTGTGTGAGTGCGTGTGTGTGAGATGTTGTGTGTAAGGGGAGCGGTTGCCTAGTGGTCAGCGCCCCGCGCTACGAACCGCGCTCACGGCCACCAAAAGCAGTGATGATTATATCTGAACCGATGCTGGGACTCCCCTAGGTCAACTCAGCCTCAAATACGTACCCGGTGCGTAAACATCACCGCTAGGGAGACAAAGGCGGCCGGGTTGTGGAGTTGGCCACCCCCCCCCCCCCCCTCGTGTGCCGTGCCGGGCCTTCATAGGTACTCGCTAAACAGCACTTGCCCCAACAGTATATCAAGGCTATACGGGGGACCTTTGTCTTTGTGTGCACATTGGAAAAAGTCGCGCACTCCACACCCACCCACCCCGGGGGTTCGCCTACAGGCGCACATGGAGACGCAGGCACGGTGCACACAGACACACAGACACACACACAGACACAAGGACACACAGACACACACAGACACAAAGCACGCAGACACAAGGACACACAGGCACACACAGACACAAGGACACACAGGCACACACAGACACAAGGACACACACACACAAACACAAGGACACACAGGCACACACAGACACACACAGACACAAGGACACACAAACACAAAGCACGCAGACACAAGGACACACAGGCACACACAAGGACAGGGCACACAGGCACAAAGCACACAGACACAAGGACACACAGACACACACAGACACAAGGACACACACAGACACACACAGACACAAGGACACACAGACACACACAGACACAAGGACAGGGCACACAGACACAAAGCACGCAGACACAAGGACACACAGACACACACAGACACAAGGACAGGGCACACAGACACAAAGCACGCAGACACAAGGACACACAGATACACACAAACACAATGACACAGACACACACAGACACAAGGGCACACAGACACAAAGCACGCAGACACAAGGACACACAGACACAAGGACAGGGCACATAGACACAAGTATACAGGGTACACACACAAGGACACAGGGCACAGAGACACGAGTATACAGGGGCCCACAGACACAAGGATACAGGCACACACACAAGGACACCCAGGACATACACAGACACAAGTATACAGGGACACAGACACAAAGCACAAAAACGCGCACGGTGCTCCAGGGGCACAGACACAGTACACGTGCGATGAAATACGCAAACACAGTACACGATACCGCAGACAAGTACGCGCAAAGTACACGTACACAGTACACAGACGAGCAGCACGTAGACACGCAGACAGGGGCACAGGTACGCGTGTGAAGTACACAGGGAATGCAGTACAAGTACACGGCTGCACAGTGCATAGATAAGTACACAAATGAGAGAAGTACACATACAAGTACAACAACCACAGAGCACGTGGGCACACAGGTGCACATTAAAGTAACCAGAAGCATTTGAAAAGGCACCCAGAGAAGTACATCGGAACGGATAAGTACACAAGAAAATAGATAAGCACACAGTGCACTGCTCTATGGCACAGGCACATAAAGTACGCAGGAATTCATAACACATGCGCATCAAGTACACACGTGTACACAAACACAAAGTACAAATCCATAATATAGGTTTGTTTGGGGGTTAGATCGCGACACGTTTATATTTACGCGATCTAACTAACAAAAAAGCCTATATTATAGATACTGGTCGCGAAATCCTACATGTTAATCCGACAAAGTACACCGACGCCCAGACATACATAATATCTAGTACTTGGGTACACAGACGCGCAGACAAGTACACAGGCCATAGACTACAATGTACACAGGCTCACAGTGCACGGGCACACAGACACGTGCATCTGTACACTGATAAGTACACTGCCTCGCAGTAGTAGTAGACACAGTAACATAGACACTGGGTTCAAGTACTCGGAGAGGAAACACATGCTTCGGAAACATAGACTCTGTGCGCAACACAGACACTGCACATCACAGGTACCTGGACAATACATGGCCACGAAGTACAGTACAATATCGTATACACGCAGACTTTGCGCGAGACGAGCGCACAGTGCACAGATACGCGTGGTGTACACATACGTCTACAGATACACGGTGTATAGGCAGGCACGTGGAGCGTATACACGGGGTATATAGTACGCACACACTTGTACACACACAAACAAATATCTCCCCCCCGGTATAGCCTTAGCATACCTATGGGGCAACTGTTCGCGAGCACCAGTGAAGGCTGGAACGGCACACGAAGTATATGGTGTGGCCGGGAAATCTCTCCCGGACGCCTTTGTCTTCCCGGTGGTGATGTTTACACATCGCACTAATTTGAGGTGGAGTCGACCTAGGGGAGACCCACGACTGGTTCAGATGATAATCGTCGTCGCTGGTTTAGGCCGAGAGCGGGGACTCGAACTCGGGTGGCAAGGGTTCGTAGTGCAGCGCGCTAACCGTTGCACCACCGCTCCCCACTCACACACACACGCGCGTACGTACGTACACACAATCACCGCGTGTACACATATATAACAAACATACACTTGTACACAGACGCAGGGTGCACACAGGAGTGGAACACAGACACTCGTACACAAAGGGGTTAACACAACAGACATGACACATGGTATACTACTCTATACAGACATCGGATGCACACTTAGACGTGTACACATATCCGTACGGTGGAGACACGCACGGGAATGAAACACACGCAGCTCGCATGCGAACGCAGATATGGTACACAACCACCTGTACACAATAACAACACGGCGGGGAACATTGGCGCGGTGTACAGATAATGATGCACTCGTGTACACAACCACGGCACGCACGCGAAGGACGTTTTACTTCGTACGGGGACACTCGCCTTTACACACAGAGACATGCCACGCGGACACACGGCACACGGACACAGGGTACGACGTAGTTGTGCGAGCGTACGCGTGGCTCAACAGATAGGGGACACTGGAGACACCGTCCGCAGACACGCCCCGAGTACACTCAGAGACAGAGTACACGGACACGTGGCATACACACACTTGCTACACAGACACCACGCATAGGCTCACGCGCGTGTACATAGATATTTTACGAAGATACAGGGTACAAAGCGACAGGGTACGCAGGCACATTTGTGCACACGTCATATATCTGGTACACAAGACGCGCGTGTACGCATAGAGTTTCGCAGATACACATTTGTATACGCAGAGAATTTGTACACACGCAGACACACACACACACCTGTACACACGTGTGTGTGTGTGTACACAGCCACGCCCGTGTGCTCAGAGAGAGAGAGAGACGGAGGGAGGAGGCGATGAGACCCCCGTAAGCCTCGAGTCGCGACCAACTTCCATCCGCACGAGTCCAGGAAAGGGAGGGGGGGGGTCCCGTAATGCGCAAAGACAATTGAAGTGATTATTTATTTAAATATCATGTAGGAATGTCTAGAAGCTAAAACCAGCGATGCATTGCACTTTCTTTACATCGTGGTTGATCGTACGCAATCAATTATTATCGACAACGTGAACTTGTCAGCTGCTCGCGTGGAGGTGGTGGTTGGTGGTGGTTGGTGGTGGTGGTGGTTGATGTTGGAGAGAGAGAGAGAGTTCAAGCCCTGGCTGTAGTACGGAGGGTTCAGCAGAAGCCGGTAGCTCCCATCGCGAGGCGAGCGTGTGTCACGTCTCTGAGCGATGCCTTTCAGTATTTCATTTCGTACATTGGCTGCCGAGTTGCAGTTTGTTTTTTTTTCGTTGGGGAGGGGGGGGGGTTGCTTTTGTAACGTCGAGATCACGTTGCTTTGATTATGTGAGGGTATAGTGTTCTTATCCGTCTATTTAATGTATATAGACCCGGTGTTTTACCAAGATGAATTAGGTAGCTTTGTGGTTTTAGGTGAACGTCCGGTCTCATTTAGGGAGGGGACTCGGACCAAACAAGTTAAGAAACGGAACCTTTTTCTATGAATTCCCCCCCCCCTTCCCTCCCTCGCCCCCCCCCCCCACACTTTTGATCAAAATAGTTTCCCTGAAATAAAACTGTTGTTCTATGCCGCTCGCCTGAAGTCGTTGTTGCGTCCGCGGGCCTCGGGCTTCACGCAGCTGCAGCTGCTGCTGCTGCTGTTGCTGCTGCTTCTTCTTCTGCAGCAGCAGCAGTAATCGGGGCCACGTCGTCCCTTCGAGTGATTGATCGGAGGGCCGAGCCCGGGTCGGGTCCGGGCTGCTGGGTCGGGTCGGGCCCGGGCTGCTGGGTCGGGCCTCGGGGCTTCTTTTTTTGTTCACCCCCCCCCCCCATACTACCCCTTACCCCCCCTACCCCCTCCTACCTACCCCACGCCAGCTCCCGAGTCGCGATTGTGGAAGCGCCACGCAGACGCACACGTCACCAAGAGAGACAAAGATTCCCTTTCCCGATGGCCTCAACAGCAGACTGTTGGGGCAAGCGCTGTTGGCGACTAGCACCCGTGAAGGCCGTGGCATGGCGCACGAGGCGGCGCGCGGGGTGACCAGCGGCACCACGCCCGGCCGCCTTTGTCTCCCGAGCGGCGATGTTTTACACCTTGCACCATTTGATACTGGCTCGTCCTAGGGGAGGCCCCGGGACCACGCACGTGGACACACGCGCACACAAACACTCAACCGAGGCGCTTCTGCGTTTTTAACATCGATTTATTGGGAGAAGGAGCGAGAGAGCGGGGTTTCTCGTAATTGCACCGTGCCGAGCCGATGGTACCGAAAAGCGGCGACGAGAAGCGAGCTGACTCGACACAAACTCGACGTGCCCGTGCCGGGACAGCATAACGGAACAACAATAGTAACCCCCCCATCCCCGCGCGCTCCCCGTGTTAATGAACAACCGCGTGCAGCGGGAGAATGTGTGAGTGCACGGCGCGCATTTAACATCACAGGGTACAGGCAGGCAGCTGCACGCAATACGCATATACACAACGCGTGCACAGTGTGCGAGCGACGTGCACGCAGAGCGGGCAGCGCTGCATGAAACAGCGCAGTGTTTGTCTGCGTGCCCGCACACCGCCGCGTTAACGCATTCGAACGCGCACAGCATATTTCGCGTTGGACCGGCAATCATTAATTCATTGATTTCACATTTTAAGAGTTCACTATGAATGAAAAAGCAATTCAGGCCCGCCACCACCTTAAAGCTTGGCCTCACCGAGCCTTCGAGGGGGGGGGGGCATTGCGCGCGGGCGAGTTGCAACCGTCCTGGGCCCCGGCCATCGCACCGTCGCCGCGATGACGCGCCCGCTGGTAAATGACGGCGGCGTTCAGCGTTGGCGCTCAGCGATAAAATGGCCGGAGAGCTGTAGTCGTGTCTCCTACACGCAGCCCTGGTAGAGCGCCCGCCGTGTGATGGGAGAGTGATGGATGGTGGGTGTTTATGTGCACACAAACGTGAGTGCGGGTGTGTGTGTGTGCAGTTGTGTGATGTGCACACACATACACCGCGAGTGAGTGAGCGTATGCTTTAGTGTGTGTGTGTGTGCATTTTTTTTAACGTACATAGCTGAATTATATTTTTTTTAAATACAGAGAGAGAGCACATGGCAGTGTGTACGCCTGTGTGTCTTTTATGTGTGTGCAGCATTCGTTGGATGTGTGTTTATTGTGTGCACCAGCGTTTGCGTGTCGTATAGTGCGCGCACACACACGCGCGCGTGTACAACGGCATGCGGGTGTGCATTTTGATGAATGCTGTACTGGAGGGTGTGTGGGTGTGCACACGTTCGTTGTGTGTGTGTGTGCGTTGATTTGTTGACGCGTAGGGCACACACGTCGTGTGCGTGCCAGTGTGTGCGTGCGCGCGTGTCATGTGTGTGTTGGTGAGACGTAACGTGCACAATAGGGTGTGTGCGTGGGTGTGCATTCCCGTGTGTATTCTCCTGACGTAAAGAGCAGAGCGTGGGTGTGAGTGCGAGGGTGTTTTTGCCTGTACGTGTCAACGTGTGCTCGATCTGCTTTTGTATTGGAACACGCGCGTTTGCGTGTGTGTTCGTATATCTGTGCTTGCATGTGTGGTGCATAGGTGCTCGCTAACATCGCTTACTCCCCAAAACGTCTGTTAAGGCTAAACGGGGGGGGGGGGGGGGTTCTTTGTCCTTGTGTATATGGCCTGCGCCCGAGTGCGTTGTTTGTGCTTTGCTTTTTTTCCTTTAGCTGTATAACGTGTTTAAGCGTGTACTCAACGCGTAGTTGTGCGTCTGGACGCGCGTGTGCGTTCTGCCCGTTCGTATATGAATGTAGCTGCGTGTGTTCACGTGCGTTTAGTGCGTATTCGCATGTACAATTGTGCATTCGTGTGAATTATATGCGTTAACGTGTTTGTCCACATGTGTGTGTGCCTGCGTGTACGGTATGTGTTCGTATCTTAGTATATTTGTGTACCGTATCCGTGCTTGTATTTGCACGTACACCAACATTAGAATAATTTCGTTTATTCGTATTCGTGAGTTGTAATAATTAACAAATGCGTACATGTATACGCGGCCACTGTGTTCCTTTAACACGTGGCAGGCTTTCGCGACCAATATCATCCATCCATAATATAGGGTTTTTTTGGTTAGATCGCGTGTTCGTTTTCGGAATTTGAGTGTGTGTCTGTATAGTTGCGTGCCAAGTTGTAATTAAGTGCACATTGCGTGTAAATTCGTGTGAGTACACAGCGTATGTACACGTGTGTTGCACCCCCACACTCGATTAGTACTTTTCCTTTGTGTAAACATAGGTGCGTGTTGTGCTAACACACGCACTGTCCTATCAATGTACTGTATTCCTGTGTACATCATATATATGTATGCGTGTGTCATAACAAGCACTCACCGCCAAGAGGGTGTTAAAGGCTACACGGGGGATCTTTGTCTTTATCTTTGTTTGCGTATTATAAGTATACTCCACTATACGCATGCATATGTGCGCGTGTATATTCGGGTGTACGCGTGCGCTTAACGTTATAATCACATCCTTTTGCACGTGCATATTCGCGTCAATATATTTGCTAATTTGTATGCGTGTACGTGTGTGCACGTGTAATATTGCACGTTCGTGTGTATACCTATATTTCGCGTGTGTGTGCACATTCGTGTGTGTGTGCGAGTTTCGAGACTGCACGGCCATCATACGGAATAATAAACCCTTGTATATGTTGGCAGATGCGCGTAACATCAGCCCACGCGTACACTACACTGTGTGTGTATTCGTGTGCGCGCGTGCGTGCACATTACGTGTGTTATGCGTATATTGTTTAATTCCCCAACCCCCACCCCCCATTGTGTTTATAAATCGGTGTGAATAATTGCCCTGTCTGTAAGTATAGGTGCGTATATTTGGTTCGCATGTTTTCTGGGTGTGCAAATGCGTGTAATTATCGGTGTGTATATTTATTAGTATACGTGCGTGTGATATAAGCACATACGCACTAACATTGAATTTGCATATCGGCGCAATCATTGTTTTTTCGTATATTTGTTCGTGTGTGTTGTAATAAGTACTGTATACGTGTGTGTGTGGGTCATATGAACATACCACCAGCCCATGTTATTGTGGATAACTGCAGGCTATTGTGTGTAGGACCATGCGTATCTATTTGCGCGAGTGGGTGTATGGTTTGTGTGTGTGATATATGTCTGAGTGATACGTGTGTGATACGTGCGTGTGAACACACCCCCTTTGTATTTGTATAATTGGGGTGTGTGATGTATATAATTATATGTGTGTAATATGTGCATACCCTTTGTGTTTGTGTATCTTGTGCGTGTGTGTGCGCGCGATATGACCACACATCGCTGTATAATTGGTGTGAATTTATGTGCGTGGGTTTGTGTTTGAGGTCGTGTGTGAATGTTTGTGTGATATATGCACGGCCCTCTGTACTCGTATACTTAGTGTGTGTATGCGTGTCTGTAGCTTTGTGTGTGTGTGCTAAGCACACACAGCAGTACTTGTATAATTTGTGTGCGTGTGCGATGTGTGTGAGCGAGTGAGTGTGTAATGCGTGTGGGTGTGCGATGCGTGTGAGTAAGTGAGGGTATGAGTGCATGTGTGATGTGTGAGTGTGTTTGTACGATGCGTGTGTGTGAGTGTGCGATGTGCATGTGTGAGTGTGAAGTGTGCAATGTGTGTGCGATGTGTGTGCAATGTGTGTGAGTATGTGTGCGATGCATGTGAGTGAGTGTGAAGTGTGCAATATGTGTGAGTGTGCGATATGTGTGCAATGTGTGTGAGTGTGAGATGCGTGTGACTGTGTTGAAATGTGCACACCCCTCGCTGGGAGAGACATCTCGGGGCTGTGAGCGAGATTTCTGCACGGATCGGATTTGTACTGTGAACGGCAGAGACAGGCAGTAACATATACACATTTATTTGCTTATTCTTCTGCAATAACGGCATGCTGCTGCTGCTGACGATTAACAATAATCTAAGAATATAAATCCATTGCGCATTTCTCCGGAGCAATTACGAAAACGCGCGGTAGGCAAATTTTGCCACAATATTCGCGAGCGGCTTTAGCATTTGCGACAACTCGTTCAACGTAAACTCGCGATGAATTTAATCTCGGCCGAGGTCTTCGAGTCGGGCTCTCGCCGACGAACGAGACGCTTAAGCAAGTTGCCTCCCGTTCACCCCGCCGCCACCACCACCCACACCGCTTCATATAACGAGCAACATCATACACGTGCAACAACACGCGACAAGGTGGGGCAACAGCGGCCAACAACGATCCTTCTATTTACACGCACGATAAATCATATTAATATTATAGCCGGAGCCGCCGCCCTGTACCCGTTATAACCTCGCCGTGCGCATTATATTCGCTTAAAATATCGCGCGCCCGCGGTTCTGTTGAGCGCAAACCTCCCCGCGCGGTGAAAGAAATAAAAAAATCGACAAAAAATAAATTTCGCGAGAGGAGAAAGAAGCAGCAGCAGCAGAAGAAACCCCTCCTCACCCGGCCACTCGGCCTCCATCGGACGGCAACAGCCGGCAACAGAGAGCAACAACGGAGATCCGCCGTCCAGAGAGGCGAGAGGGACGAGAGCGAGCGTGGCGCCATATTTGAGTGCGTTAGACCCCCTTTGTGTCGCTTCGGTTAACGCCACGATTCCGTCTCGACATCGCGTGCGAAACGTGCAAACAGCGACGTCGTTAAACCTAATGGGACTGACACTTTTACACACACACACGCGCGCACGTACGCGCGTACGCTCACACATTATTTTTTTTAGTTTGTTATATATATTTTTTACAGTCCGTGTATATTAAAATCAAAATGTGTGTGTGTGCGACCGCGTGTCACACACACACGAGAGAGAGAGAGAGACCACGCACATGCAATGCCTGGTCGCGTACAGTATATATTTATTGTACACATAAAACTAATGTCTGGCAATAAATCGTTGGACATTGCAAACGCCCCCCCCCCCCCAAATCCTCTCTCTCTCCGCTCACGAGCGCGCCTGTTGTTGTTGTTGTACATACGGTGGATTGATCTCGTGACGGACTCTGCAGACTGCATGTGCCATATAAAATGCCAGCGGATGCGTCTCCTCTTAATGTCGACTTCAAGCGCCTATTATGAGCACTGTAAAGCGCGAATTAATCTCAATTATGGAGCGTCGCCCCCCCCCCCCCGCCCCCCCCCCTATTTTACATTTAAAATCTGCCGCTCGGGTCCCCACTGTAAGCCGCGCGTTCATAACAATAACCGCGTGTTTTTATTTTATTATTTCGCAGCATTGACCCGCGCATATTTCTATTAAACGCGTTTATAAAATAATAAAAAAAATCATAATTTCCGTGATAGTAGCAATCGTAATAATAAAACAGCAACGATTAACACCGACGTAACGATTGCTAATTTTATTTATCCGTCGTAATTTCGGCGCAAGAGTCGCGGCACGACACAAAGGACGCAGCCACTCCCATCGACATGTAAACGTGGGGACGATAAATTCGCACCCCCCCCCCCCCCCACATCACCACCACACCACACACGCACACAAACGACAGCACATTGTCCTCACTTGTTTACATTTTAAACACTCCTCTCGTCTCCTTCTTGGCGCATCTCGGAATCCCTCCGAGCCCTGTCCGCACCTCCACAGCCACACTCACCTGCACGGAACAACGGAGCAGAGCTCCCCCCCCGCCGCCCGCGTAACCGCGGTCTCTTGGCCCCTGTTCCATGAGTCCGAGGGCCTCGCGACTCCAAAGTCGCGCCTCTCGCCAATATTTAAACCCAACATCTCTTTATGCGCGGGCGGCGGCGGCGTCGTCGGCTTCTTCTGCTGCTGCTGCTGCGGCGACGGCAACGGCGTCGCGGGAGATAACGAAGTCCCCGCACACCCACGCGCAAACTTCCCGCACAAAGGTTACCGGGATTCCGGCCACAATCGTTCCCCCCCGAGCGACGATGCCCTCCAGGCCGCCCACACGCCGGGACTCCCACCCCCACTGCCCGCTCGCCTCTCCCCCCGTGCGCAGTGGAGGCAGCCGCGGGTCGCGCTGGGCCTCGTCCGGCCCTCGGTGCCGTGCTCGGGCCGCTTCGGGCCGCGCGGAGGCCCCGCGGACATCAACCCACACGGCCGTTGCCAGAGCCCTTCTCTCTCGTTCTCGCATCTCGGGGGTTTGTGTTTCGCGCGCGCCTCAAGACGAGTCCGGGTTGCAGCCCGGCCAGTATTTTGATAGGGACCGCTGAATTCCTGAGTATTTGTGCAGGGCAAGAGCTGTCAAGGCTCGCCCGGCCGGGAAGATTGATAGCGAGGGGCTCCGGAAAGACCAGTCCTGCGACACAACAATACGCGCTCTCTCACACACACACAACACCACACCCCACGCGCACAGCACCGACGCACGCACACACCACCACACCGCATCCTAACATCCTGAACCCTCGTATAGTGCGCGGCGCACACCGCGGTGTGCGTGCGTGAGTTGTGATCGCGGATAAAGGCGCCCTCATTGCAAAGTCGTTGCCCGCGAGCGAGGCGCCCTCGCCGCACGTTTATTTGTGTGACCCCGGGGTGAACCTGGCCCGCGACACGGGGCAGCTCTGAGACTGCATGTGGCGCGTTTATGAGTAAAACAGGAGCAGGGCCGCTCCTCCTTCTCCTCCTCCTCCCTCCTCCTCCTCCTCATGACCTCCTCACGCACGTGTCGCGTTCCCGGCTGCGCACATTGCGCGCCGAACGAAGACGGCGGCCGTGGAATGATGAGAGAAAGGTAAAATGTGACCTGTGTTGCAGATCCATAAATCCATCATTGACATTTCTCCCCCCCCCCCTCTCCCTCCTCCTCCTCCTCTTCATCCTCCGCCGCCTCCCTCGGCAACACTGCCGCTTGACGCGGCCAACTCGGCCACGACCTCGCTTACTCGATTATCGCAGACGCGTTTAGTACATTTCTATTATTTAATTTCTCACGGTTTCTGTAATCGACGCCCCCCACCACCACCACCACCTTCATTTTTTTAGTTTTTTTTATTGAGGTGAGGTGGGTGGGGGGGGGGTCTCCCTGCCTGGGCACGTTCCCTGCTACCGTCGTGAGCCGCGGCCGATGCCCACGACGAGTCACCCCAAAGCAGCGATAAACATCAAATTACACCGCTAAATGCATCTGTGCGAGGTGGGGGTGGCGGTGGGGGCGGTGGTGGTGGGGGGGGGGGTTGTGGACCTCGCGGTTTATCTGGGCCGTGTATCGCCGCGGCTTGCACCGGGAAGGTAGAGAGGGGTGGAGGTGGTCGTGGTGGTGGTCGTGGTAGTGGTGGTGGTGGTAGTGGTGGTGGTGGTAGTGGTCGTGGTGGTGGTGGGGGAAGGTGGGAGAATCATCGTGTTCTGAAGGCGCCTCCGGACCCGCGGATTTGTCACAACTTTTGTTGCTGATTAATGGTCGCGGTCGCCTCGACTTAATGGCTGTGGGGCGCTCGTCGTTGGCGTTATGATTTAGTGTTGGTGGTGGTGGGGGGGGTGGTGGTGGTGATGGTGGTGGTGGTGGGGGGGAGGCATACGCCGCGTCCACACGGGAGGAGGAGGAGGAGGACGCCGCCGCGGCCACCACCGACATCAGCGCGTCCTTACGAGCCGAATCTAAACGGGGCCGGCTTCTTTGCGTCGTCGACCTCGCCGTAGACGTATCTACGGCGCGTTATCTTCAAGAACTAACAACAACAACAACAACCACCACCAGGACGACGACGACGAGGAGGAGGAGGAGAAGGAGGCGACCGACGAGGCGTTCCCCCGTGCGCCTGCCTAGTGGATCAATCACGACTCGCACAATGCGCTCCCTTCCCTCGCGCCTCCCGCCGCCTATTGGCCGGGCGCGCCCACGTGACCGCCGCCGCAATCGCTCCGATTTCAACGTTGTCTCGGCGAATTCAATAGTTTTAAAATAGCCGCAGTCCCCATACGGCCCGTAATCAGTGGAATTAAGAAGAAGAAGAAGAAGAAAGAGAGGGGGGGGAAGGAGGAAAAAAAAAGAAGGAGAAAAAAAATTATATACAGACCTTCCTTTAAAAAAATTACATTTTTATTTTTGTGTCTTGTGTGTGCGTGTGTCAAGAAATACGTCGCGCTGCGCTTCTCCCCCCCCCCCCCCCCCACGTCTTGCTCAGTGCTCCGTCAAGGCAGCGATGAACTACGAGTTTGAGCGGGAAACGGGGTTCATCAACAGCCAGCCCTCGCTCGCCGAGTGCCTGACAGCCTTTCCCCCTGTCGCCTCCGTCGCCGCTGAGACATTTCAAAGTTCATCAATCAAGGGCTCGACGCTTTCACCCCCGACGACGCTCAGTCCTCCTCCTCCTTTCGAGTCGATCATCCCGGCTCTGCAGCACGCCACTCGGCCGCCAGCGAGCCGGGCAAGGGCGGCTCCCTCCGGTCGTCTCACCTCGTCCTCCTCTCATCCTCCCGAGTATCCGTGGATGAGAGAGAAGAAATCGTCGAAGAAACAACAGCAGCAGCAGCAACATCATCATCAGCAGCAGCAGCAGCATCAGCAGCAGCAGCATCTACAACCCGCGCCTCCAGTGCCATCGTCGGTTGCCGGGCCCGTCTCGCCCACAGGTCAGCTTCGACGGATTGACGCTTGTTTAATTTGTTGTTGTTGTTGTGCTTCATTAGCTCTCTCTCTCTGTGTGTCCTCTTCATCTCACATGTGCGTTCGTTCGCTCTTCGTGCGTCGGATCACCGCGCGAGCGTCACGGGGCCCCTGGTGATGTGATTAGGAGACTTTGTTTTGGTAAATATCGCAGTCGTGCCGTGAACTGCCCTTTTTCTCTTTCTTTTTAGTTTTTTTCCGCCCTTATATCTCGACCCCGTCCGTCTCGCGACAACTGATAAGGACGCCGTTTGATTGGCAGCCGGTGGCTTAAAAAGTTTTTTTTTGATGGCCAAGAGCAGTGAGTTTGAGTTTGTGGGTTTGTGGGGTTGACCAGAGATGGGGGTTGGTTGGTTGGTTGGTGGTGGTGATGATGATGGTGGTAGTGGTGGGGGTTTTCTCGCAAACTCTGTCTAGAAATGACTGTTTATTCAATTAAATGTTTGACAGTCGGTAAATAATGGCCAGCCCTTGGACGATCTATAAATACGCTTCGCTGTTGACGGGGGACGGCTTCAGCCACCGCGAGCGGCCATTTTACAGCAGAAGACGCGCGATGCTTTTCGCGTTCGGACAGAGTGGATTTGACTTTTGAGTCTCACTCGGGAGTCTCTTTCTCTATCTCTCTCTCGGTGTCTTTATTTTGTGTGTGTCTGTGTGTGTGTGTGGTTGTTGTTGCTGCGCGCGTCTCGGTTGGTCGCCACTGCATTTTCTCTCCATCCATCCACCACCACCTCCTCCGGCGTGCGTGCGTGTGCGCTACAGATGACTCCTTAGACGAGGACGGTGCGAACGGTGGCTCCAAGCGGCTCCGCACCGCGTACACCAACACGCAGCTGCTCGAGCTGGAGAAGGAGTTCCACTTCAACAAGTATCTCTGCCGGCCGCGGCGCGTCGAGATCGCCGCGCTGCTCGACCTCACCGAGCGCCAAGTCAAAGTTTGGTTCCAGAACCGGCGCATGAAACACAAGCGGCAGACGCAGTACAAGGAGAACCAGGACAGCTCGGACGAAGCCTTCAAGAATAACAATGGGAATTCTGATCCCAGCGTGGAGCCCAATTCCAACTCGTCCGTCGCCCAATCCTTAATCAGCAATGTGCCCGGCGCTCTGCTGCAAGAAAGGGAAGTCTACGACGTTCAATCAAACGTGCCAATCCATCAATCGGGCCACAACTTAAACAACGGCGGCGCGCCCAGGAATTTCAGCCTCTCCCCCGCGTCGAGCGGCGATGAGAGCCCCGGGCCTGAGGACGAAGGAGCCGGGCAGCAGCATCATCAGCAGCAGCATCAGCAGCGAGCATCGTCCAGGAGCCCCGAGGCGAGCAGCCCCGACAGTCTGAGCATGCCTTCATTGGAGGACCTCGTCTTCCCGGGCGACTCCTGTTTACAGCTCACGGCCACCAGTATGCCCGCATTACCGGACGGCTTAGAGAGCACGCTGGACCTTTCCACGGACAATTTTGACTTTCTCGAAGAGACTCTGAACTCCATAGAGCTGCAGAACCTGCCCTGCTGAGAGTGGAGGTGCGTTTCGGGGGGGGCTGGGGGGCTGGGTGGGTGGAATTGGGGGGCACCAGCAAACTGCAGCAGCAGCAGGAGGCACAGAGCACTTGGGCGATGCTGTTCTCGTCGCGAAATTCACTTCGCGTCTCGTTTTTTTGTCAAAGTTCGTCCGCGCGGCCCGCGGAGTTTGTTGCCACCGGCGGGGCGGACGAGGTGAGAGTCTTAAATATTAAAAACTAAAAAAAACTTTAAAAACATTATCATTGAGTCGAGGGACGGTGATCGCTGCCCGATGGAAGCGCAGGGGATGTGAACGACGCTGACGATGTGTTTTTTGTATTTTTTTTTTATTACCGCGGCTCTTTTATTGTTGTTATTTTTTTGTTTGTTTGTTTAATTTTGAACAGTTTTAATAGTTTACAAACGGAAAGTACAAGTTGGACACGGGCAAAACACGTTAAGGGCACCGCTCTCGTTCTATTCACGTACCCCCCTCCTTCCCAGCTGGGATGGATAAGTGGACATGTTACAAAGCATTTATAGTTGTTGTATAAAAGTAGTTTACGCATTATGTTATATGTATCTTTTTGAAAATATTCAACAAGTATATAGACCCGTAGGCGCAATAGATTTCGACTTTAGCAACTTTTTATTTTATTTCGGTCACAAAAACTAGTTTCATGCGTTTCTCTTTAAAAACAAAAAATAATACATAATGTTGTTTCATCGCTCGACAACCACGCATTTGCCCACGTGTCGTTAATTAATCGTTTAATTTAATTAATGTCGCTTTGGGTTATTTTTTTTTCGTGTTGGGTTCGGCGAGATCCTTCCTAATTTTCACCCGCGTGGAACCAAGCCTCCTCCTTGCTGGAGGAGCGGAGAGAGAGAGGCAGAGAGAGAGAGCTGGCGGGCGGGCGGGCTCGCGCGCGAGGAGAGCCGCTTTCTCGCTTATCAGCGCGACCATCTCAAGAGCGGGGTCAGCCCCTCGACGCGACTCCTCTATCGCCGCGACAGTGTTACCACACACACACACCTAAAGCTATCCCCACATCGAGCCCCCTATCGGGGAGTTGGGGGGGGTAGAAGAGGGGGGGGGGTGAATAGGGTGCGGGGGTGGTGGGGGGAAACGAATGTGCATTGTATTTCCGTAAATTATTTTAATAGATTACAAATCAAAGGACACCATATTCAAATAAAAAAAATGACTAAAGTTGCATGGTGAGCTGGGTCGTCGCTCGTTTGTCGGGTAAGCGGCGTCGGTCGCCGTGTTGATTTGGGGGGGCGACTTTCGCGAGCGATTATTTAGGACAATCGCAGCGGGAGATTGTCATAAATAATCGCGGCCAGGGTTAGTGGGAAACACGCCGCGGTGTGACTGCAGCGGTGGTGTGATGATAATGTAGTGGTGTGCGTGCGTGTTGGGTAGTAGTGTGTTTGTGTGCTGGGTTAGTGGTGTTTTCTTCTGGGTTGTGGTGTGTGTGATGCGTCCTATGTGAGTGTGATGATAGTGGTGCGTATGCTGAGCGATGGTGCCTGTCTGTGTATGATGATGAAGGAGTTTGTTGGGTGGTAACACGTGCCGGCCTGGTCATGGGTAAGAACCTATTCGGTCGTAATGTGTGCTGACTGATGTGTGTGCGCGTGTGTGTTGTTGAAGTGCTCTGGATGACGGGGGTGTGTTGGTACCGGTGTGTGTGTGCATGCGTGCCGGTGATAATGTAGTGCTGGGCTCATGTTTATGGGCAGAGATGCGCGCTGGCTTGATGGTGTGAGTTGTGTCGTGGCGTTCGCGTTCACGACGTCTCTCCGACCCCCCCTCCTCTTGCCGTGGCCGCGTCGCCTCGGCCTCTCTGCTGCCCCGATGTGCGTCCGTGACGCCGGCGACACCGAGCTCGCTTCCGTGAAATGCACAATCAGATGTTATATGAGCTGTTAAACGACGGGGCGAGCGTTTACGGGCGGCGGTCTGGCGGTGTTTAGAAAGCCGGCGGTGTTTTATAGGGAGTTTGGCCAACCCCGCCAGCCGCACATAAATCACGGCGCTTTTCTACTGAATGGGAAAGTCGTTAAGAGCAAAGCGGCATTGGCACGGATGCGAGGCGATAAATCACAGGCCACGTTCTCAGAGCGCCGCGGCGGTGTTGCGTGTTTGGGGAGAGAGAGAGAGAGAGCGGAGCGTCTCAACATGGCCGACGTGTCATCATCATCGCACGTGAAGCCCGCTCACTCTCACGCTCTGTAGGACAAATAAAGATGCCCCCCCCCCCCACGCCCCCCCACCGTCTATTGCCTTAACAGACTGTTGGGGACAAGTGCTGTTAGCGAGCACACGAGCCCGGATGGGTGGCCAGCACCACTCCCGACCGCCTTTGTCTCCCCAGTGACGATGTTTGCACATCGAAACAGTTACTAATTTGAGGCTGAGTAAACCTAGGGGAAGCCCAGGACCGGTTCAGATAATCGTCACTGGTGTTGGTGGCCGTGAGCGGGAATCGAACTCGAATCGACTTTTGCGCTACCACTACACTATAGCACACGTGCGCACGCTAAAACGTAGGGCATACGTTATAATGCTATAATGTACGTTTTCTAAAAAAACACGAAGATATCCTCTTATCGCCTCTAACATGACTTGTGATGAGTGCTAGTACTGTTAAGCAGCACCCAACACTCTCTTAAACTCCCACGTACACTCAGACTCACGAACGCACGCACACTGGTTCGAAACTCGTTAACACGCATTACCACACACACACTATGAGATTCACAGAGTATTAAACAATATTAATACTACGTGTACGAATGCGCTGACTGTAATATACACGGGCACGCAAACTTCTCACGCAGTGAAGCAAACGACCACTCGCACACTTTCTGACACTCACAATGACCGACACTCTCCAACGCACTCCGGCACACACACACAAGAACGCCGCTCTCTCTTTGAACACACACATCGAGTAAAACGCACACTCCTCCTGCTTTCTGTAACAACACACACGCACACGATCCCCAACACATGCGATCACACGACGCACACACTAAGCACCATCCATCCCTCCCTCTAATTCACACTTACAGGCCTTCATCACAACTTGTAGCGCGCCCTCTCTTATCCTCGACACATAGCGTACACGCGTCAAATGATAACATTTATTTTTTGTTTTATTTAATCGGGAGAAAAACAACAATAATCTTTGAGTCGTACCGTCTCCTTCACCGCAGGGTGCCACGGTTCATTATTTGATAAATTCCTCACTGCGTGGGTTTGTTTTTTGTTGTTTAAGGGGAAACCATTTGGGGACGCAACTTCGTGGGTACGTACGTGCGTGGAACTTCTTTCGCACCGTACGTAGCCAACCGTGCTAAATTGGAGGTGCGGGGGAAGGACAACAAACTAAACGCACACACGCACACACAGAGAAAACGTACAAAAACAGTTATAAAAAAAATTAGTTTTCAACTTAAATAAATTGATTGGTATCGTCAGTAGCCGGGCTGGCAGCTGAGAATGGCACCACCGGGTTTCGATTCTCGCTGGAGCATAACCGAGAAACAAACACTGCGGCTCACGTTTAACACATATCCATCCCTCGGGTGATAACAGTTTATTTAGTAAATATTGCAGTTTATTATGATAATGTGTAATCTTCAACGGTAACACTCATACGCATCCACGGTTATATACTCGGCGTTATGTTACCCGTGTTTATAGAGTGGATGTTTATTAATATCATTACGAGTGTATATCGGTGTTTGTTAGTGTTTATTATTGTTATGATTCGCTGTGCCGTGAGAGGAGATAGCGCGAAATCACGCTCCCGTGGCGAGGGCTTCCTCCTTGGAGGACTCCGGGCAGGGGGACGGACACTGAAGAACTGAGATGAAGTTGACTGTGGATGTGTAGAAGACTTCGGCAGAAGTAGCCAACGGCAAAAGCGAACTTAACGCAACTAAACGTTTTAATGATACTACTGTAAGGCCCACTGTGTTGCGATATCGCTCTTTTTCGGAAGTGACCTGGCCACCATTGATAAGCTCAACGAAGTTGCTTATCACGGGGAAATTTATAGCAGCCAAATAGTTTGAACGCGTGTTTCTAAAATGTCGAGGGAAAACCCGGATGACTCGGGGGGGGGGGGGGGGGGGGGTGTGGGGAAATCCACGCGACCACGGGAAGAGAGAGAGAGAGAGAGAACACGCAGACTCCACCGAGATGTTAACTCTGCTGTTTGGGGACGAGAGGCACTGGAGACGACGACATCCCGAGGCTCAGGAAGAGCCCCGTTGTACGCCGACGACGAAGAAGACAAGTGGGACAGAGCGACTCGTCGTCGCCTCTTCACGCGTCATGCGCTGGCATCTGTCGGGCGGCCGGGAACTGCCGCTGCCCCCCCCCCCATCACCACCACCATCACCACCCCTTTGTTGGTCTCATTGTGCAGAGGCCCGTGAATGGCGCGGGCGTGGATGACTCGCGGAGTCCCGCCTGCGCATTCCTCCTTGACTCCCTGGCCGCGTTTGCGCCTCCTGACAGAGAGAGGAGGGGGGGGGGCGGTGGTGCTGGGAGGACCGACAACGACGCAAAGGGCCGGGGCGTGGGGGGGTGGTGGCACTTAACGCACGCATGTTACATACACACACATACACGCGTGTGTGTGTGTAATATGCGTGCGTGTGTGTACAGTAAGCACTTACGTACAGAGACAACGAAGATCCCCCAGTATAGCCTCAACAGACTGCTGGGGCAAGTGCTGTTAGCTGAGCACACTGTCGTAGAAAAACAAAGGCCATCCCCCGCCCCTGTATAGCCTTAACATGCTGTTGGGGCAAGTGTTGTTAGTGAGCACACTTTCGTATAAAGGCAAAGACCCCCCCCCCACCCTGTATAGCCTGAACAGACTGTTGGGGCAAGTGCTGTTAAGCAGCACACTTTTACGTACACACCTACACAAATACACACACATGCAGACACTTAAATACGTACACACAGTTACATATATACACACACAGAGAGAGAAGATATATGAACTTATATGCTGAGTTACATTCACACATACAAAGACAAATATTACCCGCATAGCCTGTAACAGACTGTTGGGGCAAGTGCTCTGAGCGAGCACCTATGAAGGCCGGAACGGCACACGAGGGGGTGGGTGTGGTCAGAACCACGCCCGGCCGTCCTTTGTATCCCCAGTGGCGATGTTTACACATACATACAAGATACACACAAGTCTAGTCGAGTATAAATTGAAATCTAGAGGGACTCGATAGACACACTAAAACACGCGTATACACCCGCTTACACACATACATGATGATATAAAGACAATGCATACGCAGAAACACATACGTATACACACATTAATACATACACAACATATATAATACACATAAATGCGTATAACATACATGACTTAGATACATAAACACGTAACACTCGCCCCAATGCACGTCGTTGTATGGCTGTGTACAAAACGAAGACACACGTACAGGCAGACGGAACACAACGACACGCACAGACACGTGCGAATACAGACACAT